AGATTGTTACTAAAAGTGATCCAATCCGATACCTCCTCAGCAAGCCTGCTCTAATCGGGAAGGTGACAAGATGGTTGTTAGCACTGGGTGAATTCGAGATCACATGTGTAGCCCCCAAGGCGATCAAGAGCCAAGCCTTTGCTGACCTCCTTGCTCAATTTCCAAGTGGTGACTATGAACTAGTGAATGAAAAATTAAGAGAAGAAGTGCATGCAGCTATGGCTTCCGAGGAAAGCTTTTGGACATTGAGCTTTGACGAAGCAACAGCCGGAGGTAAAAGAGGAACCGGGATAGTCCTTACAAGTAAAAGTGGGGAAAAGTTTTATTTATCTTATAAACTGGATTTCCATTGTTCGAATAATGAAGCCGAGTATGAGGCTCTTATGTTAGGCTTGATAGCAGCTGAGAAGCACAGTGTCAAGAAGATTCGGATTCGGGGGGACTCAAAGTTGATAGTGAAGCAAGTTTCAAGACAGTTCGTCTTAAAGGAGCCTGCCTTGGCCACATATCGAACAACAGTCCAAAGGCTTCTTGACAAATTTCAGAAGGTTGAAATAGAGCATGTGCCTCATTCCGACAACAAGTTTTCAGATGCCCTCGCAACATTAGGGGCAAGAGTTGATATCCCAAAGGAGGAGGTGACAATTATTATCAAGAAGAGAATAGAGCCTTCGATAATACCTGAAGACAAAGGCCTTCCAGAGGACTGGAGAGGAGAAGTCCTCGAACAACTCAGAAGCAAAGTTGGAAAATTGACTATGGCCAAGCTTGCCCAATTCATAATTATTCAAGGTGAATTTTATTTTCGAGAAGGTACCGGATTCCTAGCCTGGTGTGTTGGCCAACAAGAAGCAAGTTTCCGACTACAACAGATCCATGAAAAGTCTTGCGGGGATGTGGATATCAGTCTGTACAGAAAGATCCAAAGACATGGCTATGATGGTGCATGATGGTCACAACCCGAGCAGCTGGTGAAAGCTTTCCCAAATGATCTTGCAACTCTAGGGGCAAATTTCAACATTCCGTGGAAGAAGTCTATCTATGACATTTACAGTTTGCATTTACTACATTGTCCATGAAGTTCTATCTTTCTTATGTTATGAAGAAATTTATTTCCTCCATATTATGTATCTCCATTAAAAGTTATTTTCTCTACATTGTATATCTTCATTGTGTTATGTTGCTTGAAACAGTTTTCAATTTTTGTTGCCCCTCAAAGAAGAAAAAGAAATGGTAGACTCAGTTACCAACCTGAAGGGAGTTTTCTTGACATAATAGAAGTATACTTCCACTCGGACTTCCGAGAGATAGACTTGTTTCTGCTCGGACTTCTGAAGGAGAGCCTTCCGAGGGACAACTCTTGTTAGTGCGGGTCTGAAGAACAGCCCTTAATTTCATCAATACGAGCTCCGAGGATATTTCTTTTCAAAGTAGAGTGGACTCTCACTCGGACTTCCGAGGGACAGCCTTGTTTCTGCTCGGACTTCTGAGGGAGAGCCTTCCGAGGAACAACTCTTGCTCTCATTAGTGCGGGTTCTAAGGGCCCCGAGGTCGTGGATCTCAATCAAGAATTTATTTGTCTGAAATAGTAAAACCGACAAATGAGATGAGCAATATCAATTTCATATCCTAATTCAGACATTATCAGAATGGGGCAATATCAACAAATAATAATGATCCATTTAAGCTACAACAATTTTATTACTCTGAGCAAGTTTATGAAAATGCAACAATCAAGTTTTTTTTTTTTGTCTCTCCGGGCCGGTCCCTCTCAAGCCGACGTAAAGCTACAACGGTCACGCAAAATTTTGGCATCAACTATGTATTTCCCAAGCATCCACAAGTTAAACAAACAACAATATATCATCTTTATTATTCAACGAGAGGAAGAGGGAGCCGAATTTCATACTCACAAATTTGGGACTGTTAGAGGGGTGAAGTCCGAAGCCGATGTTGGAAATTCAAGTTAAAATCAGAGAGGCTTTACAGACTGTAATCAACAAGACTGGGCTAGGCTTGGCAGGACCACACACGTTGCGTTGAGAGGGCGAACGTGCGTGGTCGACGTCGGATAAGCTGAAGCCGGAAGCAGCGATGTGGAGCTGGGTTGGGCAAGACCACACACGTTGCGTTGAGAGGGCAAACGTGTGTGGTCAACGTCGGATAAGCTGAAGCTGGAAGCAGTGATGGTGCCACAGAAGAGTCGGCAACCACACACGTCACGTTGAGTGGGGCGATATGTGTGGTCAGCGTTGGACCGTCGAAGCCAGAAGCAAACCAGCAGAGAGAGGCCAGCGGTGGGTATTGTCTTCACTAGTTCAAGATTGTTTGCAAGCCTCAGGACTGAAATAAATTATCACCAGAATTCCCAAATTAGAAAATGTATCAGTACATATTTATTTTGACAAGGTTCAACAAGGGCTTTATTTCCCTCAACAACCAAGCACTAGCTATTCAGAAGTCAAGAACACAAATCCCAAATTTATTTTTTGCAAGCCAAAAAATAAAAAAATACATATATATATATATATTTATGTATCAGAAAAATCAAAAAAAAATATATATTCAAGAATGGGGTTTCAGTAACACTTGCTCACAAACCGAGAATGACAGCGCGGGCATTGGGCAACTGGGCAAACCGGCACCGCGCTGAGTCGGCGGTGTGGTTGATGTTGATTAATCACGGCTGGAACCAAGGGCGATGAATTTCAGTGGGTGTGAAATCAAGGCCAAGATCTGGGGGTTCGGAACTCTGAAAAATGTTGATAAGCTGAGATGGAGGACCGGTGATGAGCTAAATAGCGCTGGACAACCAAAACAGGAGGCAAAGTCGCAGCAGAGAGAAGCCGACAGTGGTTGAGCTCGGCAGTCGAAGGGCAGAAGCGGCTGTAACGTCGCTGAGGAGTTGGCGTCGGTGCTGGTTAGTTGAGGAAGGTTTGTGGCCGCCGATGGTGTGCAAGGAGGCGTGGGTTTTCGGTGACGATGACGGTACTCGGAGTGGCAGCAAGCTGGTTTGGTCTTGTGAGCAACCAACGGTAGCTTTTGGTGTAGCAGCTTCGAAGCTTTGTTGGAAAAGAAGGTTTGTTTTGTTGAAGAAGAAAGGAGCTGGGTTGGTGCCTGTGGAAAGAGAGAGACCTGGAACGGCTACGAGCAAAGAAAATGGGTGAGATTTAGGGTTTTACACCTAAATATAAAAAGAGGAGGCGTGATGCTAGAATATTCTCAGAATGTGCTATTTATATATATACATATATCCGTATACGGATGGATTCATTGGGTTGCCTAACCAGAAAAGGGAAGGTGTGGTTTGGGGTAGCCTTTCAAAAAAATTTTATTTTTTTTTCTCTCTCTCTATAACGGTTTGCTAGGATTTGTTTGGCTGCCATAAAATGGGTTCACGTTGCTAGAGAGAGAACATGTTTTGGGTGTGTGAAAAAATAGCACCTGGAGTGAATTTACAAAAAGCTGAAGGGTTATTGAATCTTCTAGAAGGAAAAAAAAATAAAAAAAATAAAAAAAGAAGCTCGCTTGGTTTATGGTCTCTCAAACTAATATACTCTCTCTATATATATATTTATATATATAATGTGATATGGTATATGCTTCCTGGAGAATCTACAAATTTCAATTTGTGTACGTTGAGTGAAGGTAAGGTCAAAGTTTGACTATAAAAAAATGGACCTTATACATGCAAAAATAAAGATGATGATGATGATAAGTGATTTGTTTATTTATTTATTTTTTAGGTATCAAAAAAAAAAAAGTACAAAAAAAAATAATAATAATAAATAAAATTTTTGTTTGTCAATTTTATCCGTAATTTTCAGTGAGTCCTCAGTTTTTATCCATAAATTTTATCAAGGCCAAATATTCTCGAAGACATAATGTGAAGCATGGCTGATAAGGTGAAATTATGCATGTCCGAGAAAATTACAATTTCTCATACACGCAAGGGGCAAATGTAAGAGGAGCTAATTTAAGCCCACTAAATTATTTAGGCCCAATAGCCCAAGATTAGTGGGCCCGAATTTATCGCAAGTCCAAGATTGGTGGGCTTGGATTTATCGCCGTCAAACGGGCTGAATGGCTCTAAGCCTCGAAAGGGTTCGGATCCACAAACCTAGAGACTTACTCGGGCCCGGACTCGAAAGGGTATTAAGCAAGCCTAGAGATCCGAGGCACTCGGACTCGAAAGGGTTCGGATCCACGAACCTAGAGACTTACTCCAAATCATCTTTTTAGTGCTAAAAATCTCCAACGCTCAAAAAATCATCCATAAGTACTAAGAGTTGAAGGAAACTTTTTTCCGTATTGTTCTTGTTCTTTTTGAACATGGTAGAGAGGGGGAAGAGGTTGTCAGGACTCAAAATATCAATGTCATGAACAAGCCTACAATGCCCTTCATCTTGGCCAAGCTGGTGAACTCAGAACTACCCTCCCTCATCAGAAACTGAACTTAAACTTCCCTGTTTCAACTACTGTACCCAAATCTCAAAATTAAATCATCAATCTCTGCAAAAGTGAATAATTTTGAAATTTTAATTGTATCCAACAATACAAGACAAAATCATTTCCCTCGGACAAGGTGGTTAGAGAGAATATCCCCCATGTGCCTTGCACATGGGCTCCATCCTACATCATGAGGTGCCTATAAATAGCACCCACCCATAGCTTTACAAGGGAGGGATTTTGGAGATTTTTGAATTCTTGGGAAAGAACTAATTTCCCTTTCTCCATTATCGACCTTGAGAGTGAAAGTGGGAGATCAATGGGAGAGCCTTGCCATTATTCTATTCTCTAGCCATTTTGCCTTCTTCTTCACCCAATCTCTTATCTCCATCATCTCCTTTGTTGTTGTGTTCCTAAGTTGAGATTATTGAAGAATCTAAGCCTCTCATCATATTCTAGAGAATTCGAAATTGTTCTTCAAGGATCTTCGAAGATCTTCAAATTTTCCAACTCCTTTCTTGAACCCTCTCCTACACGCTTTATCTTCCCTCTTGCATTGATACCCATAAAAAATTGATCTGATTTTTAGAGGCTATTTTGTTTTGCAGGTTTATGTACTGTCAAAGCTTCTGACTGAGGAAGCAGCATTCCAATTTGCTAATGAGAACAGCATTGATCTTGTGTCAGTCATAACCACAACTGTTGCTGGTCCATTCCTCACTTCAACAGTTCCAACAAGCATTCAAGTTCTCTTGTCGCCAATAACAGGTGATCATGTTAAGATCCCCTATAATGATTGAAGCAAAAGTTCTGTAAGTTTTTTATAAAGGGTTTTGGTTGTTGCATTAACAGATAGATGTAATTGCATCTCATGGATATCAATCATATTTTTGCTCATCAAGAAGCATGCTGTCTCAACTCCAATTGAAAACAGTGTAACTTGTAACATAAGAGTACATTAAATTATTTTTGAAGAATACCTGGGAAAAGAAAGGTTCAAAATTCCACCCGCTACAACTTGTTTCAAGTTTCCCCAGACTTTCCCCTAATTTGTTTCAAAGAATGTGGGAATCCAAATTCCAGACTCATTCTTTGCATAACAAATTTCTTCATTTCACCATTCATCCAAAGATAAAGTTAAAAATGATTTGCTCTTGAGGCATTCAAGATTGTCAACAGGCCATCCATGAAACTAAGATTGCTTACATGTAAACATTATAAAATCACGCTCTAACATTGTAAACTAAAAACACAGAACATGCAACGGAATAAAATGTTTAGATCATACCTCTTTTGATCTAAAACCTCGTGGATAAATCACGTGCTTCCAGAATCTAATCAATCAATCCCAGCAGTGGGGTGATATTACAATGGTGAATATCACCCACACAAACCACAGTGCAAATGGCTTTGATCGTTATTTTGGGAGAGAGTCAGTATCATGGGTAGAAACAAAACATACGTTGTTTTCTCTCTTAGGTTACCCATAACCATATCAGATATATAATATATTATTATTATTTATCCATATCAGTTAAAACTGATAATATCTATATCTTGAGTGGTTATCCTAAATAGGTTTGAATTTAATTCAAAACCTATTTGGATAAGATCCAAATTATGTTCAAATGGTCATGCCACATGGGCGCCCATTACTAACAAACATGTTGATTTGGAAAAAGTTCAGGCGACTCTAAATTCTCTCGTATCTTATCTGCTGTGAATTCAAGAATGGGGTTAATCGCTTTAGTTCATATCGAAGATATATGCAGTGCCCACATATTCCTCATGGAACATGACGGAGCAGAAGGTCGATACATATGCTCTGCCCACAGTTCTGTAATATCTCAACTGGTTGATCATCTTGCTAAAGAGCACCCTTTCTCAAATATGCAGAGGTAGTTATTTCTTTCAAATCTTGAAGGTAAAAGATAGCTTGTGACAACTTCAAACACTCGTTTTTCTGTGTTTCCAGGTTTGTAGAGGAAGAACATGGCTCAGTCCCCTCCGAGATTTCTTCAAAGAAGTTAAGAGATTTGGGTTTTAATTTCAAGTTCGGCTTGGAAGATATTATACACCATATTGTTAATTCTTGTGTAGATTGTGGCTTTTTGTGTCCTACTGTAAACTAGATTGCGCCAATATAGGCACAGAATGAAACAAATTTTCAAGGGACAGTTTTTACGTAATTGTAATAAAATAAATAAATAAAATCAAAACGCCTGAATAGTTGCTGATATGTGGTACTAAGTTGTTTTCTTGACATCCAGTTCCTAGAGTTTATAGTTAATGTCAGTCCTCACAAATTCTGTTGGGTAATATAGAACTTGATAAGTATTGAATACTAGCCACTCGACCCCAAATTTGGAGTTAGGGTATTTTTGGTATTTCAGCACTTGTGACATGTTGGCCTAATTTCTATCTACATATAGTTGAGGGAGAGCAATTATCTTTGATATCTTATGTAACCTTTTTGATCATAATGAAACTGGAGTGATGAACTACCAAATCTTTGCTCGTCCCTGTTGAGCATTTTGATACAATTCCAGAGTCAAAGAAAATAAAAGAAAAAAGTGTATTGAAACAAGAGTAACAATCTATTTACCAATTGATTATTTTGCTAATGACTTTTGATTTGTCAGTTCCTGACTTAAATTAGCACTGGGGCTAGAGTCAATTCCTTCAAGTCAGTGCAGGGAACTACACATCCATTCTGTTGGCAATTTGATCCAGATTTTGTTAGGAATCTATAACACGCAATTAGGATGTGAAAACAGAGAAGAGCAAATGTACAAGAAATATAAATTACAATTATATTTTAATATAAAATTATTGGGTGTGGCTGTCTACCACCTCACTCTTTTTGTTTTGTCTTTTTTTTTTTTTTTTTTAAATGTATTATTTATAATAATTTGAATTGAAATACTCAAAATACACAAAATCACATAAATCATGCAAAATTATAAAATTTTATTTTAAATTCGTAAAAATTATTTTTAAACTTTTTAAGCATAAATTTTATAGCATTACTTTAAATTTTATAATTTTTAAGTGTATTCAGATTTAATGAATCTGAAAAATAAAAAATTTTGATTAAAATATTTTAAAAATTTTATTAAAAATAATAAAATTCAAATTGAAAATTTTAAAAACTGTTTTTGAAAATTTCAAAACTAAATATGTTTTGGGTTTTAAATTTGTAAAAATTATTTTTAAAATATACAACCAAATAAAATGTCAAGTTTGATAAATTCTTTTCAAAAACATAATTATAAAATTTATTTAAAAATTCAAATCAAACGGATAATCTATTTATATTTTGACCTCAAATTTTGTTTTTTTTTTGTTTTTTTTTTACAACAAATTCGCTAAATTACATTTTAATTCAATACTTTTATATTATATTTTAATCTCAAAATTACTTTCACTGTGCACGAGCACGCACTAGTGTATTCCGGGACTTCTGGATACATAGCTCTTGAATAGGCAAGTTTGATTTATTTAGAGCATAAATTTGTTCAAATTATAAAATAATAGTTGAGATATATTTTTTGAAAAATATTCTATGCATATATTTTTTACTTTCCCGCTTCTCTCTCTTTCTTTGTTTTTTTCTCACAAATCCTCCCATGATCTCATGAATAATCTCATGAATGATCTCATGATCTCACCTTCCTCTCTCTTTTCTTTTTATTTTTTTTACTTCTCTCCCTTTTCCTATTTGTTTATTTATTTTTATTTTTATAATATTATAATTGTATTTTAATTTTAATATTATTTACACCAAGCCTTTATCTCTCAATTTGTTTTTTTTATTTTTGGCTGTATATGATTTTTCTTGGACGAGGCTTTGTCAGTGTAAAAGAATATATTATTTATGGGGTAAAGAGAGCAATACAAGCATGCAATAGAATACAAGACTTTCAAAAAAAAAAAAAAAAAAAAAGTTACTTAGTAATTATCACCTTCAAATTAAAATAATATTATCCGAAATATTTTTTTTATATATATTTTTTTATTTCACTATTTTATTTTTTGTTGGTGAAATAAAATATAGGACTTTTCTTTCTTTTCTTTTTTTTGTTTTTTGGCAAACATTATAAATTTTGTATGTTTATTTCTTAATTTATATCAAGGCTAAGGAGAGTTATATAAATAAAATTATTAAAAGTTCTTTAAGAAAAATAATATTTTTTTAGTGTCTTTATTAAAAAAATACTACACACTTCACTTATTTTAATATGATACGTAGAAATTAAGATTATATTTTGATCTCAATATTATGGGGTGTTTTGAAAAGATGATTAAAAGTTACTTTTTTGACTTTTTTTTTTTGGTTTTTTTTTAAGAGATGGAAGTGGGTTAAAAGCTGAGAAATGGCTTTTAACCCACTTACCCACTTCTCAAAATAGTCCTATTTATACCGTGCTGGTACCTTTCTTTTTGTGAGTTTTGTTTCGAAGAGAAAGTTTTGCAAAATCCCTTCCCATTCTAACCTCAAACTTGAGCAACAATGGTGAAATTTGAGAGACGGACAAAGGCATGGGAGGGGAAATCTCTTCCCAAGAAAAAGAAATAAAAAGAAAAGGGTAAGAGAAGATTGATCAGATAGGGGAAAAAGTGAGAGGCCACCCCCACATGGATTTGGTTAATTTATTTTGGGAAAATGCCTCCGACCCCAAGTGGGGGTGCTGGGGGTCATGCGATCTCCCACTTTCACTCTCAAGGTTGATAATGGAGAGGGGAAATTAGTTCTTTCCCAAGAGTTAAAAATTTCCAAAATCCATCCGTTGTAAAGCTATGGGTGGGTGCTATTTATAGGCACCTCATGATGTAGGATGGAGCCCATGTGCTAGGCACATGGGGGATATTCTCTCTAACCACCTTGTCCGAGGGGGTGACCTCTCCGAGGAGGTGACTTCTCCGAGGATGAGAAAACCCCGAAGAGGAGATCACTCCCTCGGCGAACCCTTCTTCTTAGCCACACCTAACCAATGATCTCCAATCATCCCAAAGGGTCAGGGGTAGTCCCAGAGGACGTCCTGCCGCAAAATATTGCCGAGTCTCATGGACCCCCCGGGGTCGTGCCACCTCGACCCGAGTATAGGCTAGTTTAACCGAAGAGTGAATTTATCTCACTCACCGTCCTCGGGATCGGGTCCTTTGTTCGAACTCCATTACGCCCATGGTTCTGGTGCGTAGATCCCGGAAAGCTCCGAGCCCGCAAGTGTTCTGGGACTCATTAACGGAGCGGCTTCTAGATTGCATCTGAATCCGTTCGAAGCCAAGTGCTTCGGATCTCTAGATTCGTAGGTCCGAATCCTTTCGAGTCCGAGTGCCTCGGATCTCTAGGCTTGTTCAATACCCTTTCGAGTCCGGGACCGAGTAAGTCTCTAAGTCTCTAAGTTCGTGGATCGAACCCCTTCGAGGCTTAGAGCGATTCAGCCCGTTTGATGGCGATAAATCCGGGCCCATCAATCTTGGACGTGCGATAAATTCGGACCCACCAATCTTGGACTATTGGGCCTAATTAATTTAGTGGGCTTAAATTAGCTCCTCTTACATATGGTAATACAATAATAAAGAACTAGATAATTAACAATTAAGTTTAAAATTAAATAGTAAAACATTAAAGAGAAAATTGTGGAAAAAGTCTAAGTTAAGGAGATTATAAGATATTAGTTCCAGTTAATAGTTTTTGTTAGTGAAAGGTCCACAATTTGTGAAATTGTTTGGTGAGAAGTCTTTTGTTAGTTTTGGAGAACATTTTGTTTTCAATTTTATTCCTTAATTTTTTTGTTGACTTTCGTTGATTTGTTCAAAAATTTTTCTGTTTAATATTTGACTATCTGTTCAAATTTATATCTATATGTTCAAATTATTTTCTATCTGTTTAAATTTATATCTATTTGTTCAAATTTTTGACTATTTGTTTAATTTTCCCGCTATCTATTTAAATATTTGTCCAAATTTTATTATATGTTAGTTTTTTTTATCAATTTAATTTTTTTTATCTGTTTAAATTTTAAACATATTTTATTAGCTGGTCAAATATTTCCAACAGATTTGTATTCAATTCCAACAGGATTCCCACTATCTGTTAAAAATCCCACAGATCTGTGTTGGATCTGTTGGAAATGCTTATAATTCTGGGTAAAATCAGAATTTTATCCTAAGTTCGGTCTATTTTTTAGGTGGGCTCCGTGCGTCGATTTTCACAGGTCAAAGTGGTAACGCGTTCTATGCCGCGTTGTGATTCACGTGGTATATTTGGTTGTTCAAAACCATTACCAAGTGAATGGGAAATTGAAGCCAAAGTGTGCTCCATGGAAATGGAGTTTTGGTGGAAAACCCTTAAAGGTTTGAATAAGGCTTGTCCCACATTGATTTTGTAGAAAGTTTTGAATGGGTTTATAAGGCATGAGTTTGGTACTTGGGGTGTGCCCCAAGGGGTACCCAAGTGTTTTAGAGGGAGAGGTTATGGGCAAAATGGGCTAGGCCCATTGGACCCAAAAATCACCACACACGCATGCGTGCGCCGCTGTCCGTTCGGTCGGGCGGGCTGGGCTTGGGTTTGTCCGGCCCAATACTAATCTTTTTGGGTCAAAAACATTTGAATTTAATTTTATTTTTGGTAAAATAAAATCCAGAATTCAAATTAAACTGGTTTGGTTTTACTGTACACCCAAACCAGGCTCTTTCCATTTTTGTTATCTGTTTGAATTGTAACCCAACAGATTCAAATCTGTTTGATTTCAAAACCAACAGGTTTCATACCTATTCAATTCAAAACCTAGAGCCATCATTCCATCTATAAATAGGACAACCCTCATTTGGATTTTGTATCTCTAATTTTTCGTCTTTCATAATTCTGCAAACATCCTCTTCATTTTGCTGCATTATTTTCTTGTCAGAGAGAGTATAAACACTTAGTGTGTTCGTTAGGTAAACAATTTGTAGTGCTGCTATTGTTTGTAGTAGGTCATTTTATCCTGGGAGATAGACGTCCAAATTCTGAAAGCACCGTGGAGAGGACGAATCTGTCTTAAGGATACAGTGTCAAATACTGGACTTGATCTGATAATTATTTAAAGAAATTAATCAAGTAAGTTGTTTAATTTATTATTCTATTTTATCTATTTAAATCAGATTTTAATTTTATTTTTTTTTGTAACAAAATAAAATCTGTTATTTATTTATTTCAAGTTTGATTTTTGTAATCAAACAAATTCTCTCATTTTCTTTATTTCTTTTTATTCTGGTTGATGTTTAGTACACAACAGAATTTAATTAATTTAAATACAGTAAAGATTGTCCAACAATTTTTACCCAGAATTTTTCTACCAATTCCAACACAAATCACCCTACGGTGACCCTTGTCACACATTAGGTCTAATAACTCCAACTCATGAACCATACTTGTGAACAATTTTTTTGTTAGACATTTGTCAATCCAGTTACTTCAATAATACATGTTGGCTACAACTTCTACATCACCAATCTTAACTAGAATAAGTTTGGAACACATAGCTTATGAACTAGAAGGTGAGCATGATGCGTGTATTAAAAAAAATAGAGATGATTATAATTGTCATTTAAAAAATAAATTGAATGCAAATGAAGAAAAATAAAATAAAATTGAACAAGTGAAAATTTGAAATAAAAAATTTAGATAATAAATAGGAACAATTTAAACGTAACAAAATGCATGGCATAGACCTTCACACCAAATTGTACTATATTTTATATAATAAAATGAATAAAATAGATTAAATGGATTATTATATACTTTCTAGACATTAATTTCTGGTCAAATACAACTTCTACATGATTAATCTTAACTAGAGTAAGTTTGGAGCACATACTTTAATGGATTGTTATACACTAATGGACATTAATGAGTGAGAAACATAAAATGAAATTTGCCATCACTTGTGATTTAATGACTGTAAAAACAACTCTAATGGTAAAGCGATATATATATATATATATATATAATAGTGAGACAAATTCATTGCTAAAAAACAACACTACCAAATCTTGTGTTAAATTTAGCTAAAAAATTGGCAAAGCCATTTTTCACCACATCAAATCTTCAACCAGAAACCCACCTTTTTGCCTAATGAGAACTTACAATTTTCACAAACCAAAACTTACAACTATTAAATTCTAAAATTACAAAAAATCAACCGGACTAAAATTATAATTAGAGAATTTAAATTAAATCAATAATCACAATTTACATATCTTTCAAAAACACAAAATCAAAAAATAAAAAAGCTTAAATTTCTTGATAAAGGGTTTTATGTAGAATGGAGCATTGTAAAACTTAGATGAGAAAATTTGAAACTTCGTTGGATAATGGTAATGTAAAACTAGGGTAGTTGAATAATAGTGATGCGGAATTATGTTGTATCAAAATCACAAGTCACCATTGGAACAGTGTAGCCAAGAAATAATCTTTTTGCAATGTAGAAAGCCAAAAAATGAATTTGGCAAAGCCAGAAGGGATCCAAAATAATTCCAATTAAGAAGAAGAACAAGTAAAGAATAGAAAAGAGGTGACTCTTCAATGTCTAGTCTTCAAGAAGATAAGCAAAAGTGTAATAGCCAAAAAATACCTGCAATTCTAACTCTTTGGAGTACTGAACCAGAAAAGTATGGCAAATGTAACATCATTTACAGAGTACACAAACAATCAACAGCTAATTAGTGTTATCAACATCCAATTGGTTTGGCAAAGTGAATCTCATGACTCTCCCCAAGTTTATTGAAAAGAGGTAGGTCAATGAAATGGTTACACAATTTATAATATCAATTTGCAACTTACATTCTGCCATCAAAATACAAATCGATAGTACAATGATTACATTACAGTAGTACAGTGTAATAACAAGACCTTTTGCATCCACCAAGTGAATCATTCAAATATGGAAAATTCTATGGTGCGTTCACGGTGCACACCATCAAAAGTTATATCATGGTGCACACCATCAAAAGTTATGATTGAATGTGGTCGTTTACAACATAATGTAGTTACCATTGTAACTATAGTCGGTTATGATAAAATGGTGTGGTTGGCACTACAATCTGTCATAGATTCGAAGCATCAGGTAGGTTTTCAGGTCTCACTTCTTCTTGAAAAATTTCCCACCTTTCTTTCCCATGCCAGTCCCAGCAAGGCTTGACAGAAGGAGAGATTTGGTATCAGGCCCCCACTTCAATTCTTTAAGAACGGAAAACAAAGTTGAAAGAGCAGGAGTTACTTCACTGTCTTTTACATTGTTACAGGATACAACTCGGAGCCTTTGAAACTCCTTCCATGACAGAATCACAGACTCCAGGCCTTGAGTTGTTAGCATCGCACAACCTTCTAAAGACAGGAACTTCACCCTCCTGAAAAAATGTTGAGATACAGTCTCCTATCAAAGAACTTTCGAAATCAACTGCTAAGATTCTATTGCATCTTGATTCACTGTAATCAATTCATTCTTGTTATTTCACAGAAGAAAACAATTGAAAGTTGAAAATATTAACTAGTTTTTGAAAGCTAGGCTGCTAGGAGTCATAAAATCACAATTAGAAAATGCTACAGCTAGGAGTCAACAATTTTAGCCTCCGTTTGGGAAGTGTGTTGTTGGCTTTTTGACTTTTTGACTATTTTAGCCTGGGGCTAAAAAGTCTAGTTTGGGAAGGATTTTTTGGATTTTTGGCTTTTTTGACTTTTTTTTGTGAGAGAGGAGTGTAATTATTATGGGTTGAATTTGATATTTTATTTTTTGTGGCTATTTTAGCCCCTAATCCACCAAAACCAACTTCCCAAACTATGCCTTAATAAGCATACAGATATCATATTTGCCACGCAGCCCTACTTCTTTGCTGTGAACGTGAGCTTCAATAAAAACATGTTTAGCAAAGAAGTTTTCTTGTATTTGGGAAAACTATCAGACATATAATGTTGATGCCATGGGGAAATTGAAATCAAGAATCTAAATCAGTTAGTTGTCTAGTGTAAGCTCATCTGCATCACCCTGTTTGGTTTTGTTTTCAGAATCTGTTTTCTGAAATAGTTTGATGAAAATCACCGAACGGTTCTGGAAATAGTACCAGGCAACAGAAGTAAATTAATTTTGTTTTTTCTGGCTTATCAATACAACAATTAACAAACAGAGAGAGCTCCATACCTGCAGATACAAGCAATGCTGAATACATCATTGTCCAATCCCCAACAATTCTGGAAAACAATCTCTTTCACAGCCCCACAAATGAGAAACAATGCTCTTACACTCTGCTTATCTCGCAATTGGCACTTCTCTAAATGCAAATGCTCGAGTGTCCGGCAAGAACCCAAATGCTCATCAAGCCCAGGACTACAATCGATTCTCTTACATGATTGAAACTTCAAAGTTTTCAAATTCTCACAATATGAAAGAGCTGATAACCAGCCACCATCCATCCTATGATTAGTCAGAGTCAATTCTTCAAGCATTTGGCAGCACTGCCCAATTGCTTTGATCCCATCATAGCTTCCCTCACATCCGCTGAGCTCAAGCTTCACCAATCTCTTACACCCTTGTGCCAATATAGTCAAACCAATGTCTGAAACCAAAGACCCATAAAACCCATCAACAAATCCAATCAATTTCAGTATCTGAAGATTCTGAAACGCCGCGATACCGTGCAGAACCTGATCGTTACACCGATGCAATTCCAATTCTTGCAATGTAGGACACTCCTCAGCAACACTCAATAACCCAATTTCACTAGCATTGATAACCATAAGTTTTCTCAAATTTGGGTACCCACCAGCTAATGATTTCAAACCAGAATCAACTTCATCAATTGATAACATGTAATTCTCAGGAACAAACCCATTTGGGGAAACATTGGAATCAATATGAAGAGAAACAAGATTACGAGTCAACAAAATACCCGAGTTTTCAGGCGAAACTACACATCCATGAACCAAATCGACATGGATGAGATTTGGGAATCGAAGAAATAAACGACCGGAGACGAGAAAGTTCCAATCTAGAAGCTTGAGGGAACGAACGAGGCGGCCTTGGAGATTGAACCAGCGTTTGGAAACTAGAAAATTGGATTTTGTCTGAGATTGGGGAAGTTTGGAAAGGATTTGGAGGAGAAGTTGGTCAGAGAGGAGAGAGATTGGATCTGAGAGGAGCATAGAGCGATCGAAGAAAAGGGTTTTGTCAGGTTGGGGTTTGGGTTTGGAGAGAGAATGGAGTTTCATAGCAAAGACGACATTGTTGAGAGATTTCTTGTTGTTGAGCCAGAGGTCTGACCAGCTCGATGGTGTTTGTGTTTTCTTCAATGGAGGAACTGGGTTTGGTTTCTCAGGTGAAAAAGGCATTGTTGTCTGTGTAGTTTCGAATCCAAAGACCTCTCTGTTTCGAATCTCCTTCTTCTTCTTCTTCTTCTTCTGCTAATGATGATGGGTCTTCTCTGCATCAGCTCTTTCTCTCTCTTCGTTTTCTTCTAAATTCTCTCTCTTTGAATCTTCAGTTTCATTAAACTCACTGAGATTCTCTCTCTAGAGTAAGTGTAGATGTGTCTCTCTCTCTCTAGATTATCTATCTTTCTTAACTTTTGTATGCTCCCTAACGGACTTCTACAGGTGGGGCCCAGAGTTGGACATTTTCACTTGCTAATGACCCGTTCCTATACAAATTTTGTTTTTATCTATGATTTTGAATTGGATTTTAAAAGTATAGCGAAAAGTTTAGGTGAAAGAGGAAAAAAAAACAAAAAAAAGAAAAGAACAGAAGACAAAATGTACCTTGTTTGGAAAGTTCACTATTTGATTTTTTATTATTATTATTTTAGTTTAATTAAAAATATGTGTTTAGTTTGTGTTTGTAGAATAATTTTTCAGATAAAAAATATAAAAATTTGTTTGATTTGCTTTTTTTCAGAAATGATTTTGGAAAATTATTTTGGAAAGAGAGTTTTAAAAAAAGTTATTGATTTGATGTGTATGAGAAAGAGAGTGATTTTGGAAAGTAGGTAACTTTGAGATTTTTTTTGAAAAAATTTGTTTGGTTTGATTACTCTTGAAAATTTGTTTGTAGAGAATTTTTCCTAAATTTTTTTCTAAAATACAAACTAAACAAGGCCATTATGTTTGGAAAGTTAATTAGTTTTTTTTTTTTTTTGTAGATTAAAAATTATTTTTTTGACTTTTTAATTTTTTTTTTTTAAAGTATAAAAAAAATCGAGAAGTAATGAGACTTAAAAAAATTAAAAAGTCAAAAAGCTAATAAACTGACTTTTAATTTAGATGCCGAAATAGGCCGTTAATTTGATGGTTGTGAGAGAAATTAAAATAATTATAAATTAGATGTAAGATTTTATCTTATTTACTATTTTAATATATTTTATTTTTTAGTGAGTTAATCTTTCCAAACAAAACCAATATGTTCATAATTAATTATGGCTCCGTTGTAATGTTGGCTTGTTATGATTTAGTTACAACGTGGTTGTACATTTTTTTGTGTTAGTTATAAATATTATATAGCCTTCGTTTGGGAAGTGAGTTAATTTTTTGGTTTTTTTTGACTATTTTAGCCTCAGTTAAAAAGCTTGATTTGGGAAAGAATTTTTAGTTTTTTGACTTTTTTGACTTTTTTTGTAAGAGAATAGTATAATGATTATGTGTTAGATGTGATGTTTTGTTTGTTGTGACTAAAATAGCCCCAAACCTCCTTGCCAAATGAAATAGTGTGCACAAGTTTTTATTGTTGTGTGCTTTACGTTTTAAAATTTCATAATTTTTTTAAATCTGCTCGCTGAGATCTATCAAATAAAATCTCAATTTAATATGAAATTATGTATAAAAAAATAAAATTTGTACACCATACATGGCAAACACTTTGAATTCAAATTTACACATAACTTTAAAGTTGTATTTAAATTATGAATTTGAGCAAATATTTAAAGCACATTCGATTCATAAATCTAATTTTAAATTTTTTTCCCCAAAAAGTTCACACTCTAAAATATTTTGTTCACAATGACAAGTGGTTATAAAATGACTAAACTAGCCATGTATATATATTCAAACCAAACCAAACCAAACCCTCCGTCTCTCTTTGATTCTCAAGCCCTTCCTAACTAATTTTGCCATACCCATCGTCAAACCACCACCGTTCTTGAATCTCCACCATTCCTATCTCTCACCGTAGATCTCATTACAAAAGTCAAGATCGATTAGAGCTCTCCGTCAAGCGCCTCCACGGCATCAATGACAGCGGAAGCGTCGCTGGCCCCGGTGTCGTTGTTTCTTACATGTCACGACCCAAACCTACCCCTAAAAGTTTGCTCCATGACCAGCCTATACATCGGTCTCAAAACAAAATTTCATGAATATTTATACAAATACGGGGCCTTAAGCAGAAGCAATTACCAACATAAAGATAATGTCCATTGAGCCTGTGCAGACATGAAGACTAGATTAATTTAAGCATTTAAATACACTTTCCATATATACACATAATCACAGAACTTATATAGATCTCACACACAAATGCATAAGATTCAATAAAATACATAATTCTCCAATACAAAGTTAAAGCTTCGACACAGGTGTAACCCAGGCGGCTTGACAAAGAGATGGACCTCGACACATCCCTAGTGTGGTCCCTAATGGCTCACCTACATAAATATAAAATAAGGGGTGAGCTAACGCCCAGTGAGTAATATCAAAGTAAAGAGGTTAATGAATGATGTCCTCAACATTAGGAAAATATATTTCATAATTCTAAAACGTATCTTAAATCATTTCAAAAGAGACATTTACCGCATCATAATCCATGCCTTTTCAGATGGAATACATATTTTAAACTATTACAAAACATTTTACATGGTACGTAGTACGCTCACTTACCAAAGGGTAAAAGCATATTTCAAAATAGGACATCCATTCGTGCATATAAAATAATACTTCGTAACATGAGTCATATAGCAATGTAAAAACATTTGTATTCATTTCACATGTTCTGAACGACCTTGGGTCCATGTATAACAAAACGGCTTCAGGCCCAATCATATTTCAAAACGACCTTAGGCCCAAACGTATTATATCATATCATGGAGTAAATGGGACATCGACATGTCCCCACCTCTCATTGGACCCAATTCATGTATGTATGGATCCAAGAGGTGACTCGTACGGACTCTAGAGATGACTCCTACTATAGCACTTAGTTCCATACAACACTTTGTTCCATATTAAAGTCCATAGGTCTTAAAAAGGGAACAATCATGCCATAGTATAAACGAAACGAATAAGCAGAATGGCCTCAGGCCTACCATATCATAATATAAAATTCACATTTCTTATTCATGACTCATTTTACTTTTCTCGGAAACTTGTGTATTTAACAAAATATGACATTTAAAGAATCATGCCACACGTTAACAAAATACGATAATGAAAAACATATCTTTACTATACTATTATTCACAATGCTGGGCTTCTGGTAACAATAGGACGATGTCCTTGTTTGACCTACAAACACAATGCATATAGCATAATATGAGAATATAACCAATCTCTTTCTTGTTTTTTAATCAATTAGCCATGGTGGTTCTAAACTCATTAGTCCTCAATAGGTCATAATCCGTGTCTAGGAAAATAGGAGGAATCGAAAGGAAAATGGTTTAGAAGAAGAAATGGTATAAAACCGGTAAATAGAATGTGAGCAATCGTCATTAATTTGGGCATATCTATTTGTGTACTTATAATTTGGGAGCGAGACCACCACCATTAGAAACTAGACTTCCGGGGCTTGAATTTAGGCTCAAGAATCACTCAAAATGGAGTCTCGATGCAAGAGATATGCTTATTTGAAGTTGGCTAAAACAGAGCTGTCCCGCACTTGCAGGAAACAGGGCCGCACGTGCAGGAATTGAGCCGCACGTGCGGGACCACGTGCTTTCTTAGTAGAATCAAATTTGGTGTTGGAAATGGATTGCCGCACGTGTGGGAAGCCCTGCCGCACGTGCGACTCTGGGCTAATTCTGCTGTCCGAAATTCTAGTTTGCTCTAACACTTGTTTCTTCCATTTTCAAAGCTTAGTTTCAACTCTAATCACCCAAAAACATGTGAAATTACCCCACAACATGATAAACCAACATCTTTCAAGTATAATTCATCTCAATTACATCAATCTTACCCAAAGTTAGAAATCCAAGTCTCATCTTTTCCATATATTCAAACTTTCATAATATATGCCCTAAAATCATATAAATACATCTTACACATGGTTGATTTTCACACAAAATCTTGTTATTCCATGAATCATTCTTAAGATTGAATCCAAATCAAACAAATTTAAGGAAATCAAGGCTCAATTCCTTGAATTCGACCCATTTCATTCATAACGCAAAACACTAGGTCATTTACATATGTTAAATCTCCAATTTACTCCTTGATTTCATATGGTAGATGCAACTCAAATCCTTGCTTTTCCACTTAATCTCTTCAATTTGTTCCAAGCTTCATGGTTGATCTTCTTTCTCTCTCTTCAATCTCTTCAATTCATCTTCAACCCCCATGAATGTTGAGCTCTCTCTCTTCTAGAGAAGCTTTGACTCTCTTGCCCTCTCTCTCTCTCTCTTCCTCTCTCACGGTCTTCTCCCTCTCTCTTAGATATTTTTGGCTCAAAGATGATAAGTTCACTCATATATCTCTCTCTCATACACACACACACACACACATATATAAGTTTATCACAATTAGGGAGGGCCAAAACTTTTTTGAAGCCATTACTAAGGCCAGCATTAATTTTTCTAATGGTGGATACCTTGTTTCCGCATCGGCCAATGTTTTGCTTACATAGTAAACAGCCTTTTGTTCCCCTTTTTTTTCTCGGATTATCACGGCACTTACTGCGTGTTCTGAAACCGCTAAGTATAGAAACAACTCTTCCCCAGGTTCAGGTGTTGAGAGGACTGGAGCCGTGGTCAGATATTTCTTTAGGTCGGCCAAAACGGCTTCACACTCCTCGGTCCAGAGGAAGTCCGTAGCCTTCTTCACTAGGTTAAAGAAAGGTTTACATTTGTCTGAGCTTCGGCTTATGAACCTGTTTAGGGCTGCGGCCCTTCCAGTAAGCATTTGTACTTGTTTTACCGATGTTGGGCTCTGTAACTCTAGGATGGCCTTGATTTGATCTGGGCTGGCCTCAATGCCCCTTCTGGTCACCAGGTACCCCAAGAACTTACCAGATCCAACTCTAAATGCGCACTTCGATGCGTTGAGTCGGAGCCGATATGTTTTGAGGATCTCAAAGACCTCTTTTAGGTCGGTAAGATGACCCTTAGGTTCCTTGGTCTTCACGACCATGTCATCGATGTAGACTTTTACTGTTTGGCCAATCAGGTGTTTGAACATCTTGGTTACCAACCTTTGGTAAGTTGCTCCTGCGTTTTTCAACCCGAAAGGCATTTCTCTGTAACAGTACAGGTCTTTTGGGGTGATAAATGCTGTTTTCTCCTCATCTGGGGGGTATATGGCTATCTGGTGGTACCCCCTATAAGCATCTAGGAAGCT